TAGACAACAGGGTGCAACAAAGAATACTGGATATACTAGGATATACTAAAGGTGATCTACCTTTTAGATATCTTGGTGCCCCATTGAGTACAAAGCGACTGTCAATAGTCCAATGTGAACCATTGATTGATAAAATGCTGAGTAGAGTGCAATGCTGGACAACCAAGCTTCTATCTTATGCAGGGAGAGCAACACTGATCAAAAGTGTCTTGGGAACACTTCAAAAATTTTGGGCACAGGTCTTCATGCTACCTAAAAAGATCATACAATTCATTGAGACAATATGCAGGAGATTTCTTTGGACTGGGAATGCTGAACCAACAAGAAAGGCAATGATTGCTTGGGACAGATTATGTATGCCAAAATCAGCAGGGGGCTAAACTTTACCAGCATTGAGACATGGAACAAAGCAGCTATTTGTAAGTTGTTATGGAACATATGCAAAGAAAAGGAGAAAATATGGGTACAATGGGTTCACACATATTACATAAAAGGTAGCAGTATTTGGGATACAGAACCTAGGAATGCATCCTGAGTAATACAGAAGATTTTCAAGGCAAAGGAGCACTTTTAGAAGGCAGGATATTCAGAAGATGAAGTGAAGCAGCTAGGAAAGTTTTCTACCAAGCAGATGTATAAAAGATTACAAGGGGACTTCCAAAAGGTGCCATGGAGAGGACTAGTCTGCAACAACAAGGGGATGCCTAAATGGATCTTCATTCTAAGGCTGGCAATCCTAGACAGACTAGCCACCAAGGAAAGACTTGCTAGATGGGGTAAAATGGATGACACAGTATGTTCTTTATGTAAGCGGAGCAATGAAACAGTGCAACATCTTTTCTTTGAATGTGATGTAACATGGGAACTATGGCAGAAACTACTACTGTGGCAAGGGATCGTGAGAAGGAAGAAGCAGTGGTATGAAGAAATACAATGGGCAGTAGAGAAGGCAGCAGGGAAGAGTGCAGGAGCTGAACTATACAGAGTTACTATGGCTACAGTTGTCTATCACGTGTGGCAGGCTAGGAACAAAAGCATATTTCAAAATGAAAAATTCAATGTGATAAAAATAGTAAAACTAGTAGTGCAAGAGATTCATATACGAGCTCAAAGTTACAAAAAACTGGATATGTACCTAAGCAATTTAAACTGGTACCCAGTATAGTATAGAAGGAACGTAGTAGAGTAGGAGATAATGTAGTACCCTTTCGTTGGGGCTTCATGTCCAACAAAGGAGAATATAGAAATTTAGCCTCTTGGTGTATATTGTAAATACTTGGTAATAAAATCATTTAATTACCAACAACAATAATAATAATAATAATAATAATAATAATAATAATAATAATAATAATAATAATAATAATATACTAATAGTAATAGTAGTAATAACATTAATAATACTAGTAATAATGATATTAAGTAAATAATAATAATAATAATTAAGTCTAGTTTGTGCTAAAAATGGTAAAATAACTATTCTTATATTATTAGTGATATTAGAAGCTTAACGAAATAGTTTGAAAGAAATAAGGGACAAAATTGGATGTTAACATCAATTAAAAGATGTAATGATAAAATGAACCAAAATACTACTCAATTAGAAAATTAAGGGCACCTAATCTATTAGAATTCTCAAGATTGTAGTAACCTTACTTGCAAATCTTAGGAAAAAATATTGAATCTCGACAAAGGATTTTTACAACTTGTTTGGATGGTTGTTACATATCGTTTCGTAAGGTATCGTATTTTATTGTATAGTACTGTATTGTATCGTTTGATGAATACAATGTTTGGATAGATTGTCGGCCCATTTGGATTGGCTTATTTTAAGTGCTTTTAAGCCAAAATAGCTTTTTTAGTCATTTTGTAGTGTTTGGATAAAGTAAAAAAAATGCTTTTAAGCACTTAGTTTTAAGCTAAAATGACAAAAACAAGCCAAAAAGCCAAAAGCTAGAATTCCTAACGTATGGCTTAAAAGCTGTTTTGACTTAAAAGTCACTTAAAATAAGCCCATCCAAACGGGCTCTGTATCATTTTTGTTGTTTCATGATATCATGCACTAGCAATACGAAAAATAAACTTACAATATTATAAAGAAAAATTATTATACGGGATAAAATTATTATATAAAAAGGTAGGGTAAATGATAAAATATAATTATTTAATAATAATGAAGGGTGAGATGAGAGAAAAAGACAAGGTAACGACGTAACCACATCAAATCGATCGTTATATAAAGTGCCACATTTCGTCGTTACGTAATGACAAATTTAACGATACGATACGATAAATTTTAAGTAACAATCAAAACAAACATTGTATTTAAAGTAACAATACGATACAATACAATAGGTAACGACCATCCAAACAAGTTGTTAAGCTCTCAAAAGAGATACAATTATTCATACGTCATAAACCAACTAAGAAATCATAATTTCTTACTAATATTTTATACTATTGAAAATTGCCAAAATTACCTTGTAGTATACAAACTAGAACAATTATGCCCTTGTTAATAGTAGGGGTCATATATGCCATTGCCGTGAGCAAGTTGGCCTAAAAATGCTATTCCACACTAACTGACTTAGATATAGAGCCGTTTGGTCCAACTGTCAAAAACTGTTTATTTTGAAAAGTATTTTTCGAAAAAGTACTTTTACAAAATAGCAAGCATTTTATGTTTGGCCAATTCATTTGAGTAGTGCTTTTTGAAGCTCATTGTGTTTGACCAATCTTTTTAAAAAGTACTTTTAAGTATCAAATTACGAAAAAGAACACTAAATGTTCAATTTGCAATTAGTATTAATTAGAAAAAAGTAAATTTAATTATTTATAAGAATTCAATTAAAATATAAAACGTAAAGTAAAATTATAAATTAAAATTCCAGTCAATATAAAATATAGTTATTTCAAAGCAATAACATTGCGTGTTTGGATTACTTATTTTTTACATGTTAATTTAAATATGTCAAAATACATCATTCAATATAAATTTAAATCTACTCTTAGGAATAGGAGAAAGAAAAAAAAATAATTAAGATTAAAGAGAGAAGAAATATATAGTAGAAAAAAGGAAAAGGAAAAGGAAAAGGAAAAGGAAAAGAAAAATATTAAATTAACGAGGGATAATTTGAAAAATATAAATTTATTATATGTTTATTTTTGTCTTGAACAAATTAATTTTCTACTTGTGCTTATTGGAAGAAGCTAGAATTTGTAGGTTCTCCCCAAAAACAGAAAAACTGTTTCTGCAAAAGTACTTTTTTAATATGGCCAAACACCTTAAATTTTTCAAAAAATCTTTTTTTACCAAATAATAATAAAAAAAAAGTATTTTTTGCCTCTTAGCTTAGAGCTTGTTTGGCCAAGCTTTTGGGAGGCCAAAAGTACTTTTTTCTGTCAAAAAAGTACTTTTAAAAAAATTTAAGCTGTTTGGCCAAGACGGAGAAGTACTTTTGGCCAGCAGCAGAAGCAGAAAATTCTAGCTTCTTCCAAGAAGCAGAAAATTCTAGCTTCTTCCAAGAAGCAGAAGCAGAAAATTAATTTATTCAAGACAAAACTATCCTTACCATAAATTTATATTGTCCAAATTATCCCTTGCTGATTTAAGTTTTTTCGTTTTATTTTTGGTTTTGGTTTTTACCATTCTTTTAAACATTAAAGATATCATATACATGAATCATATTGTATCTTTCTACATTCTTTATTGATATTTATTATTTTTGATTTTTTGTTTATATAATGTCTTGTAGCTTTTCAACTTATTTTCTTCTTTTTTCACACGAAAGTAAATATCTACATCCTTCCCTGGATTATCAATTCTCTTCCTACAAATAATTATTTATAATTTCTTCTGTTACATGCTATTAGTTCTCAAATCTTTAAAACAGTTATCAAAATCTAATTTGTGAAAATTACCTACAAATAGGTAATAAATTTATAATAGCATTGTACAATCTATCTATATTATTATTAAAAGAAGAAGAAAATGCATCCACATTGGCAGCCCCATAATAGGCCATTTGACAATTTAGTACAAAGTTAGTTATGTTAGATAATAATTAATTTTTTTAAAACTAAATTATACATTATGTGTTGTTAATATTAGTTATTCTTTTTGAATTTGATTTAAACATACTTAACTTCTTCTTTTTTACGAGAATAATTTTTTTTAAATATATATTTAAATTATATTTCTATTTTACGCTTAATGCCATCTTTCAAGTTTGACACTAAGAATCATCTAGTTACAATTACCATGATTATACATAATTTTATCCGACAATTTTCTTTTAACGATAAGGAATTCAACTATTATACTAATATAGACATTACTACAGAGATTGAGGAACGAGTTGGGCCTTCTGGTATTCATTTAGAAATGCAAGGCAAGTCTTTTACGAATATGGAGGCGTTGTGCGATAAACGTAGAGATGAAATTATTGAGAAATGTTATCATATGTGAGTGACTTTATTTATTATTTCATGGTGGGTTATCCATATATAGTAATTTGTGGAATAGACTTCTAATTCATACCGAATGATATTTTAATTATTCAAGTCATCATGTAACAATAAGTAATTATATATGTAAAATTGATTTAAATCTTTAATATGTATGTTTACTGTATGTTTCATATTTTAATTAAATAAAATAATAAATAATAAAAGTATCTTACGATAAATATTTAAGTTTATTTTTCTCTTTAAAATAATTATAAGACCTTTGTACTATCCTTTTTGGTAATTTGACACTCAAAAGTACTTTTTAAAAAGATTGGCCAAGCACTATTTGCTTATCAAATATTACAAAAAATACTTTTTAAATGAATTGGCCAAACACAAACTGTCTTTTACAAAAATACTTCTAAAAAAAAGTACTTTTCAAAATAAGTAGATTTTGATAGCTTGGCCAAATCGGCTCTTAATTAAGCCTTTAAAATCTGATTTTATTCCCAATGAATGACATGTCCAAATTAAACCCCCTTTCGTTTTAATAGGTTTTATCAGAGGTTTAGCCTCCTCATTTATTTCACTCTGTTTTCTTTGACAAGTAACGTTGCTTTCTTCTAAAATCCCCAAACCACCTCTGCTAGGGTTACGACGGAAGGAGGATTGGACAAAAGTTCCGATTGAATAGTGGTAATCTAATTCAAGGTAAGAATAATGTGCTTCCTCTTGTTTTTAGCTAACTTAATTAGTTAGTATTGGTGCTTTGCTTCTGTTACTATCTTGCTGTTGTTACTGCTTTTTCCATGTCTTTTTCGTTACTTTATTTCCTTTGCTTTGTTGTATCGGAAACACTACCCTCCCCCGACCTCATTTGTTGGGTTCCATTGGGTTTGTTGTTGTTGTTTAATTAGTTAGTATGGTTTAGATGTTTGATGTAGTTTGGCTTGTATATAGGTAGCTTAGCTTTATATATTTTGATGTAATCCCATTTTGTATTCAAGTATGAAGTGAGAAAAGTTGTGCTTGAGCTCCTATTCTACTCTCTTTTTCTACATTGCCATCTCGAGGCCTTTGGAGTGTGTCTTGCGTCAAGGAGATTTCCAATTCTACCTTTAAAAGTATTGCTTTTGATAAAAATAGGCTTTAGTTTTTTCCCTGTGCACCTTTAATAACCCTACTGATAACTGATGCATTTTTTTTTTTGTTTTTTCAGAATTAGGAGGGAGGAAAATGAGCAAGTCTTCTAAGGGATCGAGGAAAGTAGAGGAGAGTGAAAGCAACTCTGAGTTTGAGAATGATGAAATGTTAAATGAGATGTCGGATGATGTTAGTTTTTCTCACTTAGCTCACATTTATGTATTTCTTGCCTGGTTCTGAGCTTTAACGTTTTTGCGTAAATAGTTTACATGTGATATACATGTTTTTTATATGCTTAGGTTGAGAACTTTGATGAAGTCAACGATAGCGATGACAACAATGACTGTAGTGACAGTGACGACGACGATGATGTTAACCATTCCAACAACGAAGATGAAAGTGGAGAACACGAGGAAGAGGAAGACGAGGAAGGAGATCAAGAAGAAGAAGAAGAAGAAGACCGAGAGAAACTGACTGAGGACCATAAAATTGCTGGAATCGAAGAACTTAAGAAAGAATATATGGAGCTCAAGCACAAGGAACAGTAAGTTCCTTTCTCTACCACATAGCTTAGTTATACGATATGCTATTAAAAGAAGCATTCATGTCTGCATTTTCTAGAATTGTAGCTTCTATTTTGAACTTATAACCTGTAAATTCATTTGAATTTTATAAAAAGGGATAACTGATTATTGATATGACGTGAAGATTGGCAGTCTATAGTGTAAAATAATGTGAAAGTCACTTCTTTGGAAGAGGGATTAGGTATTGGTTGGTCTTTGTGATATGCGTTTCAACTGATGATGTGGTTTGCAGTTTAACCCCATGTGGTTTGACTTTTGAGCTCATAACCCATATTTGAACCACATGGTTCACATGTTGTTTTCAGCTAGGAACACATAACCCCTTGCTGCTTAAATACACAAGAGATAAAGTGATATGACCTTTGTGCTTTGATTATATTGCAATGATTAGGTAATAGATCGATGTAATAGCAATGACAAACTCCTTTTCTCTCTATAGGAATGAATATCATTACTGAAATTTGGTGAACGCAAGTATACTTACTAAAGTTAATATAGGTTTTTTCCCTCAGAAAAAAGTTATGTAGTTTGTGAAAAATCCTTCAGAAAGTAATGGCAGGACCAAGGTATATACTTACCTTTTCTTAAAATAAAAATAAAATATAAGAGTCTGAACCAAGGTATGTGGGTAAATTGTTGTAAAACCACTAAGTTCTAGGTAGAAATGAAGCGCAAGCTTCTCCAAAGTGAAGCCCATAATTTGCTCTCTAATCTCATTAATGTTCTTAATATTCAAAACTCAGTCGAAGAGACACAAAGGTTTCAGAGCTAATGAATGATTCAAATTACAATTTATAAACTCGTTATTATCACTTGTTTAGTAATGGGTTTGATCTATTAACGATACATCTGGCTAATATTAAAAAAACTTTCATCGTAATTATATCAAAGCTTCGCCATAGTTTAATGCGTCTTTCTAATATTAAAATAAGTTGCATCATATTCTTATCAAGCTTCAGCCCAGTTCCCCTTATCAGCCCGGTTAGAGTCTTGATGGTCATATAGTAAGAATAAAACATAACTAGTGTCAACAGTAAAACAAGTAGGAAGTACTTGCTATCTAAGATGTGTTCACTTTTGCCTACCATTGGTAGACACCTGATTTTGACGGTCATTGTGTATACAGAGATCTTTTGGGCAATCTGAAGCGCCATAAGGATGAGGATCTTCTCAAAGGCCAAGCAGTTAGAAACCAGAAGGTATAGTGTACCAGATGGTGCAGATGATAGTCTTTAGTTTCATCTTCTTGTAAGCGTGTATCTTTATTGTTTGTATACACACTTCCCATTGCTTCAATTAAAAGAAGTCCTGGTTACGGGGAACAGAAATGCCTACTGTGTGATTTGAAGTTATTTGCTCCTGTTTTTTCCATAAATATCTATGTTGTATCTTCAATAGATATGTGATTGAGTTGCATATAGACGATACGTCTTTTGCTTCTTGTTTTGTTAATTGCTGACTTTATCATTTACATGATTATTCCTTTGAACTGACATGATTAATGATTGACTAGTGCTAATATCATAATTATGCTATTAACTTGTTCCTTTTTCGTTTCGCTCTTTTAATTTCACAAAGGCACTCTGGGACAAGACACTTGAACTAAGGTTCTTGCTGCAAAAGGCTTTCTCAAACTCCAATAGACTTCCGCAGGTTCACTGGGTTACCATTTTTGTTTCAACACAATGCTAGAGTCATGATATTGACAAGTTGAACTTTAATGCATGTTTACTGCCTGCAGGAACCAATAAGATCTTCTTTTTGTGATTCTGAGGACAGAGTTAAAGATGCATATTCAGATCTACTTGCCTCCTCCAGAAAAACCTTGGATTCTATACTGGAATTGCAAGAGGTACAGTGAGAACAGTTACTTCTAGTAAATTTTGCTTTGAAGTAAAACAAGATTAGTATGCTTTTGTTTTGCTGGAAACCTAATCGTTGCTACTCCCTCCGTAGTCCCATTATGTGATAGAGTTTCCACTTTGGAATGTGCCGAGTTAATACTTGGTCAAATTTGCTTATCTAACCTGTTATTCAAAACATTTTGCCATTTGGCAGGTACTACTTGAGAATAATCCATCAATTACTCAATCAATGGACGGTATGACTTGTAGATTTGATTTTTCACACTCGAAGAGCTGCATCTACATGCAAATTTTGAGTGTTTAACGTTCTTTATTCTGATTTTTTTGGAAATCTGAATTTACTTTTTGAAATATCTTTTGTTTTGAGATGGTAACATATGATACTTTTTGAAATATCTAATAATAAAATATTGCTGAAAAGTAGAATTCAGCAAGATGATCTTTATCAAAATCTGATCCTTCAACTCGAGGTATTGACTAAGTGATTGAATAACCACTGGAAAGGATTCGGGGGCTTGCTTAAAAGCACCAAATTAGGTTTTAGAGGGTCAGAAATTTGCTAGATTTTCAAGACCAAAAGTACTAAATGCAAAAAAACCAATTTGCTCTATCTTGCAGCTCTAGACTGTGGTCTGAGTAAAGTTTTATAAGCCTCTGACTCTGATTAACTGAAAGAATTTCTGGAAATTGTTTGATAAGTCACCACATTCAGGGATGTTGCCAAAACTGGAAAACCAAGTCCCTGACTTTTTGCACAGTTTTCATATTTAAGGGCCTAATGACCATCAATTTTCCTCTTAGCTATTTGCTACCAAAGACAACATAAACATACCTTTTGGGATTAACATATTCACTGGTTGATGTTTTCTGTAATTTTCTTTCCTGAAGTTAATTCTGGTAAAAGGTTGAAGCTTTCGGAAGGTTCTGTTGAGTCAAATGGTGAAGTTGATGAAGATTGGCAGAAGATTTCTCAAATGCATTCAAGGTAAGAATGTATAACTGAGGCTTATTAGTGCATTTGCTTGTTTTATAGCTGTTGGTCAAATTCTTTTTTCCTTTTTGAACTGGAGTTGGTCAAACTCTTCTTTTGCTTTAGATCATGATCTTAGTTTTTTTGCTACAAGATAAACATGTTTTATATGACACATCAGGAGAAACTTCCAACCTTGAAACTGTTAACACTGTGAAGACGAGTGTGATTTAGGTGGAAATTCAGTCAACAGAGCCGGTAGATGTTTCTGTCCCCACTAACAAAAAAGAAAAAAAAGATATTTGCAGGTGCCCCAACTATGGTGGCCTAGGCATTTAAGGGGATTGACATGTATTATTCCTGAAAGCTAAAAAGCCCGAAAACCTGTTAAGCAGAATATATGCTATTCTGGTCTGGGTTTCAAATAAAACCAATTAAATAAAGTGAGTTAAGGAGTGGGGTACTGGGACCTATGATCTCTAAAGAAAATAGCAGAAGGTGGCCAAATTGTTTGTAAGCATTTCCTTGGTAATTTCATTTGCATACCATAGAACACCAGCATTGGTATTATGGTGTATCCTAAGCTGGAGCACATCATTGGCAGAATGTGGATAGACAATACTTAGTCCTCACAGTAACTTTTTGTGTTTTGTCGAATTTAAAATGAGCTTACATTTTAAATGCATAAACCCCAATTATGAGAATATAGTTGATGCAAGGGAAATGTTCGAATGCGAGATGCGAGGTGCATTTCTCTTTACGTTCTACACATCAAAAAACAAAATGAACAAGAGACTGGTGCTGGAAGAATTTAAGTGGGAATAGGTAACCGGATCTAGTAGTTGCAATCTTCACTTTGTTCATTCTCGTCTTCCTTGCACACTTTCACATTTCCACTGCCTATGAGTAATGGAAAACCAATTTTTTTGTTCATTTATCTTATTTTTCTCTTCTTAGGATGTATGTGTCTACTCCATGCATGTGTTTCTCGATCTGTATGATGTGTCTGAATGTGTAGTTCCCAAGAGCTATATAAAAATTGCACGTTACAGATATCTTAAACCTCTATTTGGATCATAATTTATCTTTTACTTTTTTTCTGCTGTCCCCAAGTATGTATGCATTTATGACATGTATGTGACTGTCTGTCTGGCATATCGGAATGTCTAGTTCTAGAGAGCTGAGAGCTTAGATAAGAACAATGCATATGTAAGTTTTCATTTAACCTTGTACTCCCCCTCTCCTATTTTATATGACAGTAGACGAAGAGTTTAGGATATTAATTTGACTTAGTAATATATTAGTCATTGTGCAGCACATCTTTAAGCAATGGTTGAGAAGTTAGTTGGCTGGCGAAAACATCAAATCACACTTCAAATTAAAACTTGAATAGGTTTGTGACTTGGAATTCTTGGAAGTATTGAACATTGTAGGGAAGGTGTTTAACAAGGCGTTAGTTGGGGAGTGGTTATGGAGATTTGGGTTAGAGGAGAATGCTCTATGGAGGGAGGTGATTGCGGTGAAATATGGGGTTTTGGAAGGGGGATGGAGGACCAAAAGAATTACACTTCCTTACTGGTGCAGCTTATGGAGGAATATCTTAAAAGGATGGGAAGCGTTTATTAGGAATATATCACTTGGGGTGGGGGATGGGCAAAGAGTAAGCTTTTGGGGACAAAGATGGTGTGAAAATAACACTTCGAGTATCATATTTCCTAATATTTTCAGGATTTCATGCCAAAAACGATGTTGCATACTGAGGATATAAGGAGGAGAAACACATTGGGATTTGAGGTTAGGAGGGGACTTACAAGATTTGGAGGTTGTAGAGTTACAGAGATTGACGAAGTTGTTCCACAAACAGAATATTTCACAGTTTAATCATGGTGTTAGATGTGGTTTGAGGGGGAGGGGGGGGGGGGGGTTAGTGGCGTTGTCTTTTTATGGTTTACTGCTGGGCAGAGAGGAGGCAGCCTTTCCTTATTCTTCTGTTTGCATTCCTAGAGTACTGATAAAGGTGTGTTTCTTTACATGGCTAGCTACAAGGGGAGTGATTCTAACGACTTAGAATTTGAGGAAAAGGAGAATTACATGTGTCAATTGGAGTTTCATGTGCAAGTGCTCGGGTAAAGATGTAGATCATCTACTTTACATTATTAGATTGCATCTTGCTTATGGCATGAAGGTTGGGTTGGTTTGGACTTCAGTGGGTAATGCCATGCACGGTTAAATAAGTAATGTTCAGCTGGACTTTCATCAGGAGGAGAAGAAGACACAAGGCTTGGGATGTCGCTCCACTTGCACTCATGTGGACTTTTTGGACAGAGAAATAGGAGGCTTTCGATGGAATAGAGAAGGTTTTTATACGTTTGAGAAATAGCCTTTTTTCTCTTATTATGTTTTGCTGCACCCATGAGATTCCCTTAAGCATAGATGATTGGGCGTCTTTCGTAGGGGAACCATATTATTTTGGGAGGTTTCTCTACTGTTTTGGTATACTTCTTGTATATGGGTATTTATGCCCTTCATTAATGAAATCTTATTACCTTATCCAAAAAGAAAATATTTGGTATCAAATATTTTATGACGTCCCAAAATAGACTGAGTGTCGTAGAAATTTGGGATAGATAAAGTATATGCTTTCTTTTGAATAAATGAGAGCTAATTAATACTTTGCTCTTACCATTTGATGTGAGCTAAAAGCAACTAAACATCAAATGTAAAGGGAAGGAACCTTGAACCCAACATAATCAAGATTGTTAAGCCATGTTGGTTTTGTAAATTTAATTGTCTAATTCAGAGGGAAAAGGGGTAGTAGAGGGTAGGCTGCTGCTAATTAAAAAAGGGGTAAGAGGACAGGCTGCTGGAAATGAGATTGCGGCTTTTGGGGGGTTGGGGTTGGGGGGATATTTGGGGTTATATGCCCTGGAACTGGTGTTGTAGATGGCCTTTTTGATTGCTTTTATTCCAGTCATTGTTTCTCATAATCTGTTCCATTCTTCAATGCAGTTAGGTTAAATCCTGCTCCCGATGAAGAATTTGTGCTAAGCCCCATTATTTATGTTGTTCTGGAATCAGATTTTATGTACATCTATAGCAGTTAGGAACAAAATCTGCATAGTTACAAGTAACACAACTCCAAAATTAGGTTCCAGAACAGCTATTACTCTGCCCTTTTCCCGGCATTGCATTCTCATGCGATTGCCCTTCCTCCCTTTTGCTAAATAAATTGGCCTGTCGTTGGAAATTGATGTTGCTAATTCTTTTATGTCATAGGATGGCTGCTTTTAGGGACAAATCGATAGATAAATGGCAGAGAAAGACCCAGGTGACCTCTGGTGCTGCCGCAATCAAAGGCAAATTGCAAGCATTTAATCAGGTTTATATCTGGGACTTGAAAGATGCTATGTACAGCAACAATCACAATGACTAGAATTAATATTCTGATATTGTACAGGACATTAGTCAACAAGTGGCTGGTTATATGAGGGATCCTAGCAAAATGATAAAAGGAATGCAGCATAGCAGATCGGCAGTTGCACTATTTGGAACTGTAAGTCTCACTTCGTGAGTTGTTTTGAGAATGGCAGCTGAATTGTACACATGGATCTTGCTATTTTTCTTAATGTTCAGGATAATTTTTTTTAGTTTTCATTAGTTTTGATTTATGTACCTGCTTTTGTGCAGGCTTCAGATGCTACTGGAAATGGAGAGGTATCAGTGTTTTATTTATGCATTTTGTCAGGTTTGGCCTGAATTGTGTTTGTCGTTGAAGTCAAGATTGATATAAGATTAGATCAATAAATCTCCTTGTCGATGTGTTGCCTAAAAGAATCTAGGCATGCTAGTAGTGCTTCAGGTTTATCCACTTGGTACAACAGAGGAAATGGCCATTCTCCTTATGGGAAAATACATTAGTTTTTGTTTGAGAATGCTCTTGCAAGGATTATTATTTCCGTAGAGGGAAAAACACATCTACTTATCCTTAACTTGGACCAGGGACCAAACATGGATGGTGATCCCGAGCTTCTGGATGACTCTGAATTCTATCAACAATTGCTGAAGGAGTTTTTTGAGGCAGTCGATCCCGCATCATCTGGTAAGATGCGTCAGTTTCAAATAAGCTGGTCATGTTTCAAATTATCCACCATGCTAACCCTCTATGGTGATGGTAATAGGATAATCTGGTTATCCTCACCTTTGATGTGTATACTGGCAACATCGTGTTCAATATCTTTTCGTCCTTCTATGATTTTGGCTGTGTCATATGTCTGCTATTAATTGTACTGTTCACGGGATTTTTTTTTTGGGGGGTTACGATGTTGCTTTAAGGATGTTCAATGTTGCGTGCTTTCTTCACAGAATGCTAAATCTATCATTTCCAGGAAGCTCCCTGCTTTTTTGACATGATCTATATTGATTGCATGTATCCAGCATGAATAAGTTCTAAAGATTACAGCTAAAGATCAGCTTTATCAGAAAATGTGGTGTTGTGATGTGTTCGTATAACTATAGTTCTTGCTTTTGGCAGAGAATGCATTTTTAGACTGTTGTTTCCAGGAAAAAGAACACCTAAAACTAACCAGTTCTTTATCAACTACAGAGACGGCATTCTATGCATTGAAGAGATTGCAAACGAAGAAACGAAAAATTGTTGATCGCCGTGCATCAAAGAGTCGTAAAATACGGTAATTGATTAACCGATTCTATCATACAAGGTTACTTCTAAAGTTCCTGGATTACAAAAATCTGGTTTTGGTTCTTGCAGGTACAATATTCATGAAAAGATTGTCAATTTCATGGCTCCTCAGCCTGTAAATCTTCCACCAATGGCCCCCAAATTGTTTGAGAATTTGTTCACAGGCGGCTCTACCCATAGGCCAACAAATGTCTTGCATTAGGCCCCAAAAATTGAAGGCTCCTAAATTTTTTTCCTATTCGATATAAAATATGTAATTCAAATGATTATTTCTCTGTACTTAGTAAATTGTTTTAACCAGTTATCAGTTCGTAATCAATCGTTAACCACATAGTTCTCACTTTATGCTGTTTTTAGGTATTTAATTGGGGTAATTATAGACGAGAGGAAGATAATTAAAGGCAGAATGGCCTAAATGGCACCTGTACTTCACCCACTTTGTCATGCCGGTCCTCAAACTTACATATTTGCCAATTAAACACTTACACTCATTCAAAACGTGAATAATAAACGCTTATCCAATGAGGCTGCCAGTGCGTGTTTGACAATCGCCTACACGTAGGACGCCACGTCAATAAAATATATCCACGTAGGCTCCAAGTCACATCTGATGGCCAAATAGGATAAAAAATTATTTACCCCCCCCCCCCCCCAACCCACATTTCCCCTCATTTTACAATTACCCCGCTAAATTAGGGCTTAGATAGTATCGAACAACAGTGAGTCGCTCCTCTCTTCTCCGTCGTTGTTGCCGGGATTTTCATCTGTACAGTTGTTATCAAAGTTTGTGGGGTAAGTTTCTTCATTTATTCTTCATATTTTGTCTTTATTGTTCTTCATTTCCTTCTATTTATGGGGATTTTGCTCTGTTTAGGATTTTTTAGGGGGAGGTTGGGTTAGGTCGTAATTGCTGTTTAATATCTCTTAATATATAGGGCTTTTGTTGTGTTTTGCTACATGTTAGAGTGAAAGGCCTTTTTAATGTAGTGTCATGCATGTAATGGCATATTTGGTTATTCTCTTTAGTGTTTTGGGTTTTTGTTTTCAAATCAGAATTTCATCCTAGTGTCTTGGGTTTTTGTTGGGTCTCGTTCATGTTAGCGGTCCACCACAGTATTTTCTGAATATTATAAGGCATTGTGGGGACGAAAAAGGAATCTTGGATGCTTTTTTACTTTAAAAATCTGTCTTTTTTGTTGGTTTGTTTATGGAGTTGTGTAAAGGTGCAACTTTTGATAACAAATAGTCATTGATAACACTGTTTTTTTTTGTTTCTTTGCAGGTATGAAAAGAAAATGGCTTCAACCCTAGTTAACCTACAAATCCACCACAGTGGTAATTTTGTATCCGACCCTGACCTAAGGTATGCAAATGGACTAACCTGTCCTCACTTAGCTACAGTGGATGTGGATGAGCTACATATTATGTTGTTTCACAAGTTTGCTAGGGACTTAGGATTTTTAGAAGTGGATTTGTTTGGATGTAAAGTTAACAAAAGTGGTGCCTATTTCATTTTAAAAACAGATGTTGATGTGTTAAATTTTCTTAATACATTGAAAGGTGGTGACTTTGTTGATGTTTGTATTGTCCATAAAATTAGTGAGCCTATTCTTGTTGAGGACATAACTGAACTAGACCCCACTATACAAACAGAGGGGCATGACAGTGGGTTAAATGAAGAGATAGAAGAATCAGATGAAGGTGAAAATAATAACTTCTCTTCCTATCACCTTCAAACATCAGAATCTGAATCTGATGAGGACCTTGATGATTCTGAAGGGTCTGACTCACTGTTTGATATAGATGAGAACATTGAAGAGTGTAGTGATTTGGAAGATGATTTAGTTGAAATTAGACAGTCTAAACTCAACAAAAAGAAGGATGCCCAAGTAAATGTAGATGAGATACCATCTGGTCCAGTTGGTGTAGATGATGGTTTTGAAGATATGCATAAGAACATAAGGGGAAAATATGAAGGGAAACTAGGAGGGGATGACCAGTATTTTGATAGCTCAGATCCAGGTAGTGAGTGTAGTGATGATGACAGAGAACCTGTTGGCCCTGATGAAGTAAGGGATGCTCCAGCTAGGAATCGAAGTAAGAAGGTGTATTTTGATACAACTTCCAAAAAAATATTTTTTGAACTGTATATGATCTTTGAGAATGCTGTACAGTTTAGGGAGGCATTGCAGACATATTCTATTCAAAAAGGTGTCAACCTTAAGTTGAAACCTAATGAGAAGGAAAGGGTTAGGGCAAAGTGCACAAAAAAAGGATGTCCATGGCATATCCTTGGTAGCATTGAAGGCAGCATCAGAAACTTTAGGGTATTACATACTACCCTGTCCATAAATGCTACAAGAAAACAAGGAACAAGATGTGTAACCCACCATGGATTGCAAAAAAATTCAAAGACAGAATAGTTAGTGAGCCTCAAATTAAACTTCATCAGATTCAAGCCTTACTTAGGCAATCATATGGCTTGTATGTGAGTAAAACTTCCTGTAGAAGAGCAAAAATGATAGTTATGAAGGAGAATATGGGTGATTACAAGAAAGAATTTGGGCTTCATGATTATGCAGAAATGCTGAAGTCTACTAATCCTGGCACTACTGTAGTGATAAGGACATCTAAGGATTCAGTTTCTGGCAAGGAAGTCTTTATGGGCATTTATGTCTGTCTTGAAGCATTGAAAACTGGATGGTTAGAAGGGTGCAGAAACATAATTGGCTTTGATGGTGCATTCCTAAAGGGGACATGTAAAGGTGAACTGCTTTCCTGCATTTCCAAGGATGGAAATAATCAAATGTTCCCTGTGGCTTGGGAAGTAGTTGAAAAGGAATCAAAGGATACATGGTCTTGGTTTATCAGGTGTCTCAAGCATGATCTAAACTTGACAGAAACTGAAGGAGAAGGGCTGACAGTCATGTCTGATATGCAGAAGGTATGGTTTCTAATACTCTTTCTTTAAAGTGTAATTGTTTTCATTTATGTTTAAGTTATAACATATAATTTTATGACTGTAGGGTCTTCATCTAGCAATAACTCAGTTATTGCCAAATGCTGAAATGAGATGGTGTGCTAGACATATCTGGGCTAATTGGAAGCAAACTTGGCCTGGTGAGGTAAAGAGGAAAAAATTCTGACAGTGTGCAAGAGCTATAGTTTGAGGTTTACTTAGCTAAGAAGTTGGATGAAAT